ATACACATTAACTTGGACTATATATGCATGCACTTAAGCATATTCAAAATATCAAGATATTCAGTTTAGCTATGTTAGAAAACTTGCCAAAACTTCTGTACGGTGCTCTGGTGCAATCATATGACAGGTATTTGTCTCATCAAAAATTTTGGGCATCCTTTATTGCATTATAGGGTATTTTGACTATTGATGACACGTGAAAGCCTTCTACACAGTGCTTGGTTGCAATCTCAAAACCAGTGTCTGTCTCATCAAGAAGTGTCAGATACACTTTGTAGATGTTAAAGGATATTTAAACTAGCAGCAAAGTGCAGAAACCTTCAACACAGCACTGATCTGCAATCACTATCTAGCTTAGAAGCCACTTGTAGTGCTCTCTAACACGTTTGAATAAATTTATCAAACACTGGAATGATCTACTTGGTTTGGTTCGTGATACCAGTGTGTCTGACTTTTTGGAGGCACTTGTATTATAATAATGTTCTATTTCTCTCATTTCTTACCGGTGTGCACTCAGGAGGTAGTCATATTTGTTTACGTTGGCACACTTATTTTGATATTACTGTTTAAATGCTTTCATTTTGTATATATGTACACCACTCCTTCAGTTGCCTCACATTGGGCTGCCGTATTTGAAAATAAATGAATATACCATCCGAAAGTGTTCTACGCTGTGCTCGGTTCCAATATGATCACTAATATTTGTTGCATCAACAGGTGTCGGGTGAGTTTTATTGCATTGGCGAACATTTTGGCTGCCTTCCACACGGGGTTCAGTTACAATATTATGACCGATATCTGTGACTTCATGAGCAGTTGGGTGCGTTTTTGTCACTTTAGAGAACACTTTGACTGAAGACAACGTTCAGAAATCTTCCATACAGGAATCAGTTCCAATATTTTGACCGATATCTGTGACTTCATGAGCAGTTGGGTGTCGTTTGTCGTTTTAGAGAATGCTTTGACTAAAGACAACGTCCAGAAATCTTGCATTAAGGTTTCAGTTCTAATATTATGATCGATATCTGTGCCTTCATGAACAGTTGGGTGTCGTCTGTCGTTTCAGAGAATACTTAGACTAAAGACAACGTCTAGAAGTCTTGCATTAAGGCTTCAGTTCTAATATTATGACCGATATCTGTGACTTCATGAACAGTTGGGTGTCGCTTGTCGTTTTAGAGAATACTTTGATTAAAGACAACGTCCAGAAGTCTTGCATTAAGGTTTCAGTTCTAATATTATGACCGATATCTGTGACTTCGTGAACAGTTGGGTGTCGTCTGTCGTTTTAGAGAATACTTTGACTAAAGACAATGTCCAGAAGTCTTGCATTAAGGTTTCAGTTCTAATATTATGACCGATATCTGTGACTTCATGAACAGTTGGGTGTCGTTTGTCGTTTTAGAGAATACTTTGACTAAAGACAATGTCCAGAAGTCTTGCATTAAGGTTTCAGTTCTAATATTGTGACCGATATCTGTGACTTCAAGAACAGTTGGGTGTCGTCTGTCGTTTTAGAGAATACTTTGACTAAAGACAACGTCCAGAAGTCTTGCATTAAGGTTTCAGTTCTAATATTATGACCGATGTCTGTGACTTCATGAACAGTTGGGTGTCGTCTGTCGTTTTAGAGAATACTTTGACTAAAGACAACGTCCAGAAGTCTTGCATTAAGGTTTCAGTTCTAATATTATGACCGATATCTGTGACTTCAAGAACAGTTGGGTGTCGTCTGTCGTTTTAGAGAATACTTTGACTAAAGACAACGTCCAGAAGTCTTGCATTAAGGTTTCAGTTCTAATATTGTGACCGATAGCTGTGACTTCATGAACAGTTGGGTGTCGTCTGTCGTTCTAGAGAATACTTTGACTAAAGACAACGTCCAGAAGTCTTGCATTAAGGTTTCAGTTCTAATATTATGACCGATATCTGTGACTTCATGAACAGTTGGGTGTCGTTTGTCGTTTTAGAGAATACTTTGATTAAAGACAACGTCCAGAAGTCTTGCATTAAGGTTTCAGTTCTCATATTATGACCGATATCTGTGACTTCAAGAACAGTTGGGTGTCGTCTGCCGTTTTAGAGAATACTTTGACTAAAGACAACGTCCAGAAGTCTTGCATTAAGGTTTCAGTTCTAATATTGTGACCGATATCTGCGACTTCGTGAACAGGTGGGTGTCGTCTGTCGTTTTAGAGAATAATTTGACTAAAGACAACGTCCAGAAGTCTGGCATTAAGGTTTCAGTTCTAATATTATGACCGATATCTGTGACTTCGTGAACAGTTGGGTGTCGTCTGTCGTTTTAGAGAATACTTTGACTAAAGACAATGTCCAGAAGTCTTGCATTAAGGTTTCAGTTCTAATATTATGACCGATATCTGTGACTTCATGAACAGTTGGGTGTCGTTTGTCGTTTTAGAGAATACTTTGACTAAAGACAATGTCCAGAAGTCTTGCATAAAGGTTTCTGTTCTAATATTGTGACCGATATCTGTGACTTCAAGAACAGTTGGGTGTCGTCTGTCGTTTTAGAGAATACTTTGACTAAAGACAACGTCCAGAAGTCTTGCATTAAGGTTTCAGTTCTAATATTATGACCGATGTTTGTGACTTCATGAACAGTTTGGTGTCGTCTGTCGTTTTAGAGAATACTTCGACTAAAGACAACGTCCAGAAGTCTTGCATTAAGTTTTCAGTTCTAATATTATGACCGATATCTGTGACTTCAAGAACAGTTGGGTGTCGTCTGTCGTTTTAGAGAATAGCTTGACTAAAGACAATGTCCAGAAGTCTTGCATTAAGGTTTCACTTCTAATATTATGAACTATATGTGTGATTTCATGAACAGTTGGCTGTCGTTTGTCGTTTGAGAGAATACTTTGACTAAAGACAACGTCCAGAAGTCTTCCATGCAAGGTTCAGTTGCAATATTATGACCAATGTCTGTCACATCATAAAGGGTCAGGCACAGTTAGTTGCATTAGAGCCCATTTCGACTATAGAAAATGCCCGAAGGCATTCTACGCAGTATTTGGTTCCTATCTTATGACCAATATCTGTTGTATCAATAAGAACCAGGTGTGCTTTGTTGAATTAGAGGATATTTCGAACACACACATCAACCGAAAGCCTGCTACTCTGGCCTCAATTGTAGTCTTATAGCTGACTTAAATCTGTCAGATCATGAAGTTTCAGGCGTGATTATTAAGTTGAGTGCTATAAAATATGATGTGTAAATATACTGAAGGCACCAGCATATTCAAGATATTGTTAATAAATTTGCCAGTGCAGGTATAGAAAGCCAGTGGTTTGTAAACCTCTTCAGAAGGGCAGCCGCCGCCTCATTCACCGAAGAGAGGAGGGGGGGGAGCTCAATGTCAACTCTATATATTAACATATTAGGGAGGGGCACTAAGTCAGCCCCTACATGGAGGGGGGGACTGCGACAAACTTTTGCCCCGCCCCTCCTTAAGGAGAACTCTGCACACGCCTATGATAGACGTACAGTATGCTAGACCCGAATGTTCATTCGCGGGAGCGGCGCACGCACCAATGTTGATTTATGGTGCATATCGCTGTAGTTACTTTGGGCACTGGAATGTCAATTACTTCTAAAATAGTCTAAACTGTGGTTGGTGAAGCACTATCAATTTTTTAACGTGTTCTCATATCCTCTAAAACATATAAACCCGCTCCAGTTAGGAACGTGCCGTTCTGTGCTGAACTTGGACAGCTCTAAGCTAAAAGGTCAAGCAACATTGTGCAACGGCCTTGGGTGCGTGGGCGTCAACGCGGTTGACGCGTGCCAGTCGTTGCGCGCCCTTTTCCTCCACAGGCGCGACTAGAAGCTTTTGACGCGTAAGCGCGTGCATACGCGTGCCAGTGGTCGCGTGGCGCGTGGCGCGCGCTGTGTGTAGAGGAGGTCGCGTGGCGCGCGCTGTGTGAAGAGGAGGAAGGAATGCACAGATGGCTGGCGGAGCAGGAGGGAGGCTGTGGACGGCGACGGCGCATGACTTGCCCCTAGTATAACATGCTCCGCATGTAAAAATAAATAAAGCAACGCTAGTACTTTGAAGCGCGAGCGCTGCTCCTACGTGGATGGTGAGTGGCTTTCCCGCAAGACTTTCGAACCTAAGATGGCGTACCTTCACGCAACTCTGCTACCCATGGAGGCAGGAAACAACTGCGGCTACCTAAAGGTAGCATATAGAGTATCTCTAGCACGCGTGGACAAGTGATGGCCTCCCGCGGCGATCTCTGTAATGACCGAGTGCGCCATGTTCACATAAGCCAACGGTTGATAGATGGGCATTCTACGAGTCATTTCTGAGCGCGTCTTCAGTCATTTGTCGAGGGAAGAGAAAGCAATTTCCAGCTGACTTGGATGATATATTGTGAATTCCAGACCTCGTGCTGCGCTATAACATTTGGCTCACGTGTTCTCGGGAGCCTCTACTACCGATCGGCACCGTTATCTGACCATAGTCAAAAAGTGTTGCCGGGCCCCTTTAAAGGAGCATGCACTGAAGAATAAACTTACTCTACTCTTCTGTATCTTTCCTGAGGATGTAGTGTCGACTCTATGGCGTGTCGTTGGTCGTCCATCTTCACAACAAGACGGGTCTGTCTCTCAATTGTTCGGCATAAAGGGGCTCTTAAACCAGGTAAACACAGCGGTATACACACCAGGTCCCCTCCTTAATTATGTTTCCGCTGATCAACGTTCTCCGCAAGATGTAAAGGTGGTGATATGAAAAAAAAACGCATTTGCAAGGCAGGTAGCCAATAAAAGACTTCACCATGCACGTACGTAGTCTATATTTAAAAAAAAAAGTTATCGGTGAACAATGACACGTCCACGATTGATGATGTCCTGTGCACGTTACAAAAGTATGCATTTCATTTCGGCTCAGTGATGCGTAGAATGAAGCTTTCTTGCAGCATAGATATCCCAGAACAAGATTGAGCATATGCATTGAAAAATACAGACTACGTGGTCGTTATAGAGCACGGAATTTATTTGTGATCGCGCCTGGAATATAAATCGTATTCCATGATAAACCACGCAACGTGCATTCGTGCGTTCATGCACACACACACACACACACACGCACGCACACACACACACACACACACACACACACACACACACACACACACACACACACACACACACACACACACCAGCCAATGCGCCGGGCATCGAAATTTTGATGTTGGCGCCTAATCCAAGTTTTTCACTCCTGGTAAGACGCAAATCATCTCGAAGATCAGGTTAGCTGCCGTCAGCGCTGTGTTACCGCTTGTGTCGTACGGAGGTGACACCTGCAAAACAGTGCCCCCCCCCCCCCCCCACACACAGAATCAATCTATAGGCACAGTTACGCAGATGACATACTTCACATACCGTTTGCAAAGAGCAGTATAAGAGGCCGATAACGCAATGGTCTCAGTTAACAACCGCATTTATTGCACGTGGTAACACACAATCTACTTGGTTTTCGAAAGATATAAAAGTCGCCCACGACAGAAAGCGCCAATCCGTCTACTCGGGTGGATTTCTGAAAGACAGTAAGTGCACGAAAAACCGCACTGTCTGCACAGGTAACTAATAACATATAAATATCACGTCCCAAAATCACGATATGATTTCGAGGCATGCCGCATGAGGAGGGCTACGGAAATTTCGACCATCAGCTGACATCGGAGAACACGTTGGCCTTGATTGATTGATTGATTGATTGATATGTGGGGTTTAACGTCCCAAAACCACTATATGATTATGAGAGACGCCGTAGTGGAGGGCTCCGGAAATTTAGACCACCTGGGGTTCTTTAACGTGCACCCAAATCTGAGCACACGGGCCTACAACATTTCCGCCTCCATCGGAAATGCAGCCGCCGCAGCCGGGATACGAACCCGCGCCCTGCAGGTCAGCAGCCGAGTACCTTAGCCACTAGACCACCGCGGCGGGGCCACGTTGGCCTTGAGCATGTCGCCTCAATCTGAACGGGACCGCCGCGGCCGTAATCCACCCCACGACCTCCGAGTAACCATTACACCACCGCGATGGCCGTCTGGGTAGGTAATTATTACATTCACAGATTGAATTTGTCTATTACCTTTAACTAATGTTAACAAGGCGTAATAGAAGCAGTGCCGTATAGTGAAGTCATATTCTTTGGCCTTCGGTATACATTCGTCTTCGAAATCAACTTAAGATGCATCGACATTTCAGTTAAGATTGTCCCAAACCAGTAGGGAAATGTCACTGTGAAAATATTGACTGAATTCACAACTTTGTGAAAGTTATATATCTTTCCAGGGCACCTATGGGAAATTCAATTATAGTGTGTATTCAGTTGCGCAACGTGCGTATTGTCTCCTATATTTATTGTAATAATAATCTTTTGTAAATTTACGAGGTGTTACCTTTTCTTGTATTCTTGTAATACATTGGATATCGCCTTAACCACTCAGCCATGACTGCGTGTGTGACGCTGGATATCTGTACGAACGCGAAACGCGGGCGTAATTTCCTGCGCCCCAGAGAAAATCCTACACAGAGAATCTCCTATAGAGGATCGAACGTATTCTTCGGACACGTATACCGTCATACACTCCCAGGATGTTTGTTGAGCAAAAAAATAGCTATATATTGTTCAATTTCCATCTTTTTTTTTCTTTTTTTTCACATTCACTATACTAAAGAGACAGGACTGAATTACTAACGAGACAGGGCTGAATGACCTTTTTTCTTTTTAAATTTGACTCTGCAGCGTAGGTATACTCTCACATATACTTCCTTACAGCCATCATGCGCTGCAGCTTTCCACAGTAGACACCAGCACCGGAATATTTAATCTAGCGTACACGGTACAGGGAAGAAAAATTTCAAGGATGCAAAGTACAATCATCATGATTCCTCAGACTGCATAGCGCAATAGAAGAGTTCCTACCGTCTATACTCCCTTATTTCCCTCTCTCCACGTGTAGACTTGCAAACTGGACTTAATCTAGTTAACCTCCCTACCTTTTCTGTATTCCGTCTCTCTCTTATCCCGTTGTTGGAAAAGGGAGGCAATACTGATAAGCATCAACCGAAGGTCTCCATTCTCAATTTTGATTAAATAATTTCTAAACACAGGTTTTGGACGCAGAAAATTTATTTCAAAACTTTTGAAAATAATGTAGAGATTGCGGTCGCGCGCGCGCGCGCGACCGCACGCACGCACGCACACACACACACACACACACACACACACACACACACACACACACACACACACACAAACGTTTTTCGCCAATTTTGGAATTTCTGAATTTGACCGCACAATAAACGGTACGCGCTCCTTGGTCACAACATTTAGTACCGAAAAAGATAAATTGAATTGAGACCCATGCAGTATATATTATTTTGCCTTGCTTTGGAAGTAATTTTGAGAAAAACATCATAAACATGATAGATAGCCAAAAGGACAGAATATCTGTGTGTCAGGAACTTAGACAAGTTATGCTGAGAATAATAATACTTGTTAGGCATGTTAACCTTTGTATTCACACTAAAAAAATAAATGCTGTGGTTCTAGCGTGCAGTTCTACACTTCGAAATTGTGCTAAAACATGTAGTTTTGCGAGTGTTTGAAATTAGCTTTGCAGAAAACATTCTTTACTGTTTTGATAAATATCTCTGAATAATGCCAAGGGCGTTGCATTGCATTCTGCGTAAAAATCAAAAAATAAACACAAAAGAAAAAAAACGTTGCATGTTTTGAGTTTCGAACAAGTTACAATGCGTCACATTAAGTTGTAAAAACTCAGCCTATAGCGGTCACGCTACTCCTTAAGTTTCGTGTTCCTTTCACGTGCTTTCGTCTTACATTGAGGCGCCGTTTCAGTATATATAGTATGACTCTTTATGTGCGTCGCCCGTGTGCTCAGATTTGGGTGCACGTTAAAGAACCCCAGGTTGTCGAAATTTCCGGAGCCCTCCACTACGGCGTCTCTGATAATCATATGGTGGTTTCGGGACGTTAAACCCCACATATTAATCATATTTATGTGCCTCAAATCAAACGCCGATTGTTTAAAAATAATTGCACCCGACATAATCACAAATAAGCTGGCTGCTAAAGAAGACGAAATACGCGCAAATTACATGGATCCGTATGCTTTGTCTTCCTACCGGCCGCTGAGCAAACATGAACAGACCATTCGTGGTGGTTCGCAGCGAGGAGCGCTCACATTACACCAGCGCCCCTTCAATTGGGCGCGAAGTACGCTTGCCCGTGAAAACAATGTTCAGAGGGCCAAGAGAAGAAACGTATCACTGAAAAAAAAATACTAAAGTCATTAGTTGCCAACAAGATCCGTATTACACAATGCAGGCCATCCATTTCGAAGTGAACACCCTGCATTGGTTCAGCTGCATGCATGAGTTTCTTCTTCTGTTCTTAAGACCTAAGCCGCACAAATTAGTCATAAACGCCTGGTTCGCGTTCGGCAGACAATCTCGGCATAACGAAATAGCGTTGGGGTCGTAAATTAGTTCGTTATATCCTATATTTGTTATAGCGGTAGAGATAGAACTCGGCTAAAACAAATAAGTATAGTGATTGGTAGTCTTCTTCTAATTAGTATTATTTTTTGTTTGCACCCAAAATGCTGGACAGAATTAATCTTTGGGGGAACGTTCAACTCTGCTGCGACATAATCCGCCTTTTGAGGTCACTCTCCGCAACTCGAATATCTGCAGCTGTGTGTTTTGGCAGAGAAAATATATTTTAATGAACCAAAGTGCGCAGATGGATTACCGCCGAGTTCAGTGCCCCTCCGCCAGAGAGCCCCCGTGGTCACAACGGGGCCTGAGTGAAACGGCCTTCTTCGCTGCCACTTGGCACGTTGCCACGAAAAAAAGACGCCGAAATCATTGTATTGTGGAGCTTGCCTTTCGTCAACGCTGGACTATCGCCGCCACACTTCGTCGTCACACGAGCGTCCGAAGTATTCCCGATCTGTTCACACAGTGGTGCGAGCAGTTAAGCGCGCTGTTTTTCGAGCTGGATGACCAAAACTTACGCAGATTTCTCAACCACCTTCCTAAGAAAAATTTTACGGCACAACCGCAGTTATTTAAACTGTAGTTACGAATAGTTTTTGAATATCTATTTTGTTTTTTTTTGTGTTTAGAGCCTCACCTCGGACCGAATATTTATAAGGTACAGCCATTATCGCGGCTGCTATTCTTGCGTTTTCAGTTTCGTTGAGAAAAGACGAATTCGACTAAACTGAATTCAGCATTAAATAAACTGTAACCAATATTGCGCATATTACAGTGTTGGTTAGGGTAAGTTTCCACTAGAGTTTAGTATCAGCGAAGCTCTCACAACATAGAGGAATTGAACACAACACTAGCTGGTTGAGAAGCGGCACGAGAAGCGGAACAACTGTAGATTTAGTTGCCCGAACAGCGGAAACAAGCATGGCAGCTTTCTATCGGTGTCAACAGCTGGCTTGCTCTGTCGCCTGCTGCTAATAGAGTGGACCTAATTATTTTAGGCCATGATAATACAGGAAGCAAGACACGTGAACAGCCTATGGAGTGGAAACTATATATATATATATATATATATATATATATATATATATATATATATATATATATATATATATATATATATATATATATATATATATATATATATATATATATATATATATATATATATATATTCAAGTAGATCCTCCGTGAGCGGTCACAACGTGGTTTATTTCGACGTTTCGGCCTAGAGTCTGGTCTTCATCAGGATGAAGGCCAGACTCTAGGCCGTAACGTCAAAATAAACCACGTTGTGACCGCTCACGGAGGATCTACTGGACTACTTGCAACGCTACGGCGACTCAACCCCCATGCCTGCCTGTATATATGTATGTATATAGCTCGTTCGAGCAACAAGATATAACATAGCCGGTAGAGTTGTTGAGTTATATTATGTTGAATGATTTAAATAAACTTTTAGCGGCCCGACAATAAATCTCGAGACCACTCTCGGTGAGAGGGTTCCTCAATTCACAAATGTATTATTATTATTATTATTATTATTATTATTATTTGCGAAGCCACTATCTGCGTTTTTTACATGTCCGTTGAGTAACGAACAGGCAACACGGGCATATGATGCTTGTATGCACACATGATCGGGGTTTGATACTGGCTGCCCACGCAGCTTTCCGCGATTGAAACAGATCGATAGATGACCCCCTCATGCCCTCTTAAATGTGCGCAAGGATGCACATAAATGTGCGCCTTAATTTTATTATTATTTTTGACACACTCCCGCATCCCTCCGGCGATGTAGTTACTTCATTTATAAAGCACGATAGGCAGTTGAACATGACCTTTGAGGGACACTTGAGAGCTTTGTTGACTGATGGACAAAAGTTGACGGAACCTGCAAGTTGTAGACATTTAACTGGTAAATGAGTTCTTCTCGTTTCGTAAATAGCGGGCTAAAGATGGAATCACCCCCAGGTGGTCAAAATTTCCGGAGCCCTTCACTACGGCGTCTCTCATAATCATGTGGTGGTTTTGGGACGTTAAACCCCACAAATCAAAGATGGAATCGTGCTGGAAGCTGCAACGATTGCTGCTTACCTCGACCAAACATGACGGCCGGCGCAAACGAAACACGGACAGAGAAGAAAGCGACGACGCAAGCGCTGTCTATACTTGCGTGCCTTCCAGGAAAGCCATCAATTAAAGTGAGGGAAGGGCAGCTCACGCACGTGTCCCTGATTTTTATAATTTCAAACACCTCCGCGATTTCCCGAGTATGCTGTCTATGCGGTGTTTCATTTGCGCTGGTCGACGTGACCATTTTCCAACTCGCTACCCTCTTACCTCGACCAAGTCAGCACCAACGATGTTGAGCCCCTTGCAGCTGCGTATTACTTCAAGCGCCTGTGCACTCGTCAAACCACCTATTTCTGGAGTACCTGAAAGATAAGTAAATACGGCACGGCTCACTGAACACTTCCTGCCCGTAAAGCAACGGTGTACTACAATCGTACCACAGGTACGTAAACCTTTAACGACATGCCCACACGGACGTGCCGTAATAATTGTCGCGGTTTAACGTCCCAAAAACCGCGATATGATTACGAGGGCCACCGTAGTGAAGGGCTCCTGAAATTTCCCCCAGCTGGGGTTCTTTAATGTGCACCTAAAATCTAAACAGAGGGGCCTCAAGCATTTTCACCTCAATCGAAAATATGGCCAAGCGACCGGGATTCATGCTTGTGATGCGCTACAACGTAAGACACGGACTTGAAAAACGAGAAACAGCACAAGGTTGATTCTTGTGTTGTTTCTCGTTTTTTTTTTTGTTGTTCGTGTCATACCCTGCAGCGCACCACAAGCACCCCGCGTTGATTGATTTGTGGGGTTTAACGTCCCAAAATTACTATGTAATTATGAGAGACGCCGTAGTGGAGGGCTCTGGAAATTTTGACCACCTGGGGTTCTTTAACGTGCACCCAAATCTGAGCACACGGGCCTACAGCATTTCCGCCTCCATCGGAAATGCAGCCGCCGCAACCGGGATTTGATCCCGCGACCTGCGGGCCAGCAGCCGAGTACCTTAGCCACTAGACCACCGTGGCGGGGCAAGCACACCGCGTTGTTAGCATGGCCGCGGAATGCAATCCCGTGACCGGCGAATCAGCAGGCAAGCGCCATAAATAGACCACGATGGCGAGTTGGACGTAAGACGTCTTCGGAAATTACATAGCTTACGAATGTCGACTGCTGTTTGGCAAAAGAGTTGGGGATGGTTGATATTCTATGGTCAAGCTTATGAGCTCGAAAACAGCAAAGACCAGAGGGAAAACGACTTCAACAAGCGCTCACTTTCCTCAAAAGCTTTTATTACGCATCTGAAAGTCGAAGAAAAGGACACGCCATGGCGCACGTGATTTTGTTTGTCTGTCTCTCTCTCCTCTCTTTATTTTGAGTAGCTACCGTCGGTGCCTAAATGAGTTCATCTGCATTAGTTTTTAGCGCAAACACACATACACGAAATCATTGTATTAATACAGACGCACGAAGGGCGAAAAACATTATAACCAACAACAACAACAGGGGAAAAAATGTTAGCCTGTAATGCAGAGTTTGAAAGTTTGACCATTCCGCATCAACAGCGTGCCACCGATTGCACTCGTGAAGCAAGGATTCACGTTACCTGTAATCTTATATATGTTTCACGTGTGAGGGCGATGTCAGATAAACAGTTCCTATAGGAACTGTTTATCTATGCGATACCATCTTTTTATTTCGTGTTCATCCTTCATACATTTGTGTATCTCATTATCTGCTCTTTGTTTTGTTTGTCAATACGTAAGCTAACGCTAGTGTATGACACTTCATCTTCGGTCTCCGGGTATACGATTCTGGACACTCTTGAATTCTCCATCTCGTGAGATTTGATTGGCCCAGTAGGTCGCCACAGCTTTTCTTGCAGGTTTAAAACGGCGGCATTACACAGTTCCGGGCAATATGGTGAAATTCTGCAGTGTCCAAAATAGCACCACTGTTCACTGATTTTGCGCAGGAAATCTCCAAGCTTACGATTTTGGTGCAGAGATAGAGACGCACCGTCCCACACTGTGCATGTTACTCAACGGATATCGACGCGTCAGTGGAAGCTAAAGTACAAACCCACACATGGTGGTACATACACAAACGAAATTCCTGGACTGTTTAGTAAAACTTCGCTCTCCACAGCCTACACAGTAGCATGCGACGTCATTATGCAAACGGACATTTAATACAGTACGTGCACCAAAGTTTACCACGCTATAACGAGAACGAAGCTAAACGTGAGCCAAATCATCAAAAGCACGCAGAAAAGTGATGCTTATGCGCATACTCACCCTACATATATGCGTGCGAAGCAAACTCCGCTATGAATCGGCGAAGCAAAAAAAGGATAAAGGGATAGCGAAGGGGACATGAATTTAACGCGCGCTCTATGAAGTCGTGGCAGCGGCGGACATCTTGGGGAGGATATTAGCGAGAGCTCCAACAAGCCCATATCGTCGTTCTCGCATTTCGCCAAGCCGCTTCCGGGCTCCCATGCGACTTTCTTTTGATCCTCCTTTTGGCCCACATATTGATGGCCCACGGGAGGGGTGCAAATTCACAAGGAACATATAGAGGAATGGGGGGTGAGGGTGCAGCAGCTATATATAAAAAAACGAAGAAGCAAGGCAAGGACACCGGGAGGACGGGAGCCCGGAGGCATTCATAAAGTGATGCGCGTTAAAAGCGCGCGAGCCACTCGAATGTCGAAAAAGCAATAAAGTGGGGGGCAATGGTGCGCGCGTGCTTAATTCCTTCTCACCAGTGCCCGGGGCGAATGCGGGGTCCAGACAATCGATGTCGAAAGATATATAGACGGGGCCGGCGCCCAGCACGGGCAGCACCTTGGTCTCCATGATGGGCACCATAGATTTGAACCAGCATTCCTGCGCCTGGATGATGTGGAAGCCCTGCGAGCAGACCGGCACCGCGCGTCAAGTAATGGCGGCCACCAAGCGACCGCGTCCTTGCCGACAACGAAGCACGCTTATGGCACGCTACTACGCGTCCGCAAACGGAACCACTGTCCGCGCTTAGTTCCCATCTTCCCCGCAGATTCGACTCCAAAAAGAAAAGGCAAGCGCGCATACAGTTACACGGTGTCAAATGAAGGAAAACATTTGACATTGGCGCAGCCAAACGAAACAGTGTGGTTTCGTTATCTTCTTTCTTTCTTAATTCGCCGGATTTTTTTTCTCTTATTCAGTATTCTGCAACGTAATCCACAAATGATAAAGAGACCTTCTAGATTCTGATAATAGCGACGTACCGCCAACCAATAGTTCAGAATGTTCAAAAATTAAAACTGGTTAAATGTTGCAGACATATTTCAAGTGACGCCGAGCACGCTGCTTTCCCAAGTGCTAGTACCAGGTGGCGGCCATGATGACGTCACTGCAAGTGATTAAAATGTGGCACTGCTCAGATGTATCCATATTTCGTACTGAGTCTGCCGAACTACTCATGTATTAGGCGATTATCAAGCAAGAGCCATTCATCACTTGCAGCTTAAGAGGCATAACTTATCGGCAAGCGAAAAAGCATTACTATTTCATTTGGCGCGTTAAAATAAAAAGAAAAGGAAACCGTGTTTCGCTATAGACGTAAGAAATCGCTGTCACTATATAATGATGAAATGGTTGTTGATTTCACCATCTGAAAGTTGAATTATCAGGAGCTCCCACATGGCCATTTTCTTGATTAACTTATTATCCACAATCCACTCTTTCAACACCATAGGTCGGCACAGAAATTGGAGCACACTCGGGCCAGTATTCACAAACGCTTCTCGCCTCGAAAATCGACCTCAAAGGATCCTTGAGCCTTTTCGCGTTGCAAAAATCACAACGCGAAACAGTCTTCAAGGATGCCTTGAGGTCGAGTTTTGAGTCGAGGAGCGTTTGTGAATACGGGCCTTAGACTCACACAAGAAGTATATTTTCTTCTCGGGGCTTACTCGGGCTCAAACTCATCGGCATATTGTGACAGGTACGGAAACGTGCATCTGGCACGAACGCCAAAATGACACCAAATGAATGAAGACGACGTCGTTGTTGTTGGGGGGCTGAGTCGGTTGACCTGCATTCCTGTGTGTGGTGTGCAGTGTTTACTCGACCAGTGCTGACTTGACTAGGCTCCTGCGAATATTTCAATGCTTCGAATATTCGAAAAACTAGTATAATTAGTAGAATGACGTTGTACTGTGTAACAATGTTAAACATTTCGAATGTGCGTTTCAAATGTTGAACTGAGCTGTGATAAGGCACTCACTTGCTCACCTGTGTTCTGCCATGTTATGCTGCAGGGTGCGCATTGAATGTTGGATTTTTATTTATTTATTTTTGCAATGCTTTTGCTTTCTTTGTGTCAAATTGTGAGATGTACCACTTTTGCATTGACTTTTGAAATTTGTGTGCCCAGATGAGCAACGCCTGTTTTGGCATGTATGCTAACAGTATGAATAACATAAAATAAAAAAATTAAAGAAGAGAAAGTTTGAATTCGCTTCAATTCGAATGGAAATTAGTGAAAATTTCGTCACTGCAGTGTAGTATTGCTAAACCATGAAAACACCTATTCAAGGAAATCTCCTCTGCCACGAAGCCCCCCTTCAAATTTAAAGGGGCCCTACAACACTTTTCAAGCCTTTGTCAGACAACGCTGCTGATCGGTAGTCGAGGCTCCCGAGAACACACGAGCCAAATATTACAACGCAGCACTCGGCCTGCTATTCGCAATAAATTCCCAAAGTGAACTGAAAATTGCTCTCTTCTTCGGCAAATGACGCCACAAGCTCAAAAATCACTCGTCACAGTCATTAAACAAGCCACTGGATGATTTGAGCATGGCGCACTCAGTCGTTTCTGGGGCCGCCGCAGGAGGCTGCCACTTGCAATCGCACCGAAAAGCCGCGTATTCGAAGAAAGAAAAAAAAAAAGAAGAGGAAGTGCTCAAGGTCACGAGTCGTGCATGAATAATATTCTTTCGCTCCTTAAGGAGAATAGTTCCCATAGTTTTGTGTTCTACGATACACTTTTTTTTATCTCGTACTTTTTCATATAACAGCGGTCGGTGGTTTACCCGCAGGTCGCGGGTTCAAATCCCGGCTGCGGCGACTGCATTTCCGATGGAGGAGGAAATGTTGTAGGCCCGTGTGCTCAGATTTGGGTGTACGTTAAAGAACCCCAGGTGGTCGAAATTTCCGGAGCCCTCCACTACGGCGTCTCTCATAATCATATGGTGGTTTTGGGACGTTAAACCCCACATATCAAAAAATCAATCAAATGTCGGTGGTTTCAATGCAGTAAGGATATTTTTCATGAATCAAGCAACTGGCACGAGATATTTTAACAAGAAATTCTGATGAAAGTCTAATTGCCCCCCCCCCCCCCCCAAAAAAAAAAAAAATCCCAGCCCAAGCATTCCGTACATAATGGTTAATCAGCCAGCGAAAGCTGAAACGTGCGGCCACAGGGCTTACCAGTGGGTTCAACCCGACATGGCACTGAAGCGTTGTACAATTACTGATTACATGTTCGTGCTTCTTAATGAGATTAGACATACCTTTCGCTTTGGTTTACCACAGTGTTTATTTCACATGCCGCACGTTATGTGTCGCATGAGCACGACCATGGAGGAATGTAATGAGCGATTAAATTTGTTTCGCAATGCTTCAAGTACAGTGGTTTTTCTCGAACCACAGGCGATCACAGACGGCGCAGACGAAACCAATGTGCCGCAGGAGAAACTTCTGCCGAAAGCGGCGTTCGATCCGGCGAACGCGCTTCCGCAGTCATCACATTGACGCCGCCACGCAACGTTGTTGCAAGCGGCTGACATCGCGAGCCGATTCGGCGGGGAGGTCTGCAGGAGAAACTGTTGTGCGTGGGCTCGGCACCACGGCTACGACGACGTCACCCACAACGGAGCCAATGACGCGCGTGCTTGGGAACGACGTAACTGACAACACAGCCAATGGAGACCACTCACGACACTACTGCAGAACAGATTTCCGTTTCTCCTAGCCGTGCACATACAGCTTTCGCTGTGACAATGACGCTTCTGATCAATATTAAGGTGGTGCATGAACGCTAATGCGCCTATAGGTGGATGTGTGAATATATTTGAGCGTGAACGTAAGCCGATATAAAGCTGAAAGTAATGCTGAAGACGAGTAGACAGGACCATTAATCGGCAATAAGAAGTGGAACGCATTAAGAAATATATTTGGTGCTTAGGGCTCACTCGGACTAAAATTTTCCAACACTTGGTTCATTCTGACTCAAGCATATCAAAGTATCGCTCACCCGGTCCCACTCAGACTCACACTCATTTGCCTCATCTGAGCCTGTGCAACTCTGAGCGAGTCGACTCATCAGTTCGCCGACCAATGTTGAGTTCGCCGACCAATGTTCCACACAAACGGAATCCGCTTCCTGGTGCAGTATTGGCTACCGCCTGCCTCATGGAGTTCAGTGGCAGAGGCCTTATATTCACGCTGCAGTGGACATGAAATATGCTGATAACAATGATGCTGATGATAACTTTATGACTTTCTTTATTGATATCTAGAGAGACCTGCAATCTTGCTTCAGTGCCGAGCTATCAGTTATTCGTAGAACGCCCAGTTAATAACAGACACTGTGACAAAGTGTCTATTCGCACACCTCTCCAAGCACAATTTGTAAATCGCAGGTTTTTTAATTTTCAAAAAAAAAAAAACTTATTGCCACCTACGCGTTTCAACAAATGTATTCCGCCCTTGCCTGAGTATGAATCGTTGCCACCGTAATTATTCATACTTTATAGCAATGTAGTAACGCTTCTTTTCAATTCATATATATTTCAATGGATTCGCAACGATTTTAAGTACATTATGGTGTAGTTTGCTGTGGTATGATCCTTGCAGAAAGATATGCTGTCACTCTTTCAAGCTTGAATGAACGTCTAACATGTAGCTATTCGCAAAGCTCTAGTCACTCAAGCAGCAAAGCTCGTGAGATGCCAAACGGAATCGCATGTTCTAAAACAAGTCGCCGCCATGAAATTCAAATGATGCTTTTGCTGTCTGCAAGCTCACACAGTTTCAGGTTGCACTGCATCCGCACAAAATATGATTAACTATACACACAGCTAGCATCTGTGCTATTCGAAGCGTTCACTGTATTGCTAAGAGCTTTCGCAAGTGCTGTTGTATACAGGAAGCAGAATGCACAAAGTCTTTTTTTTTTGCTTAACGTAGCCAAAAAAAAGTTATTATACATCTCAGTTAATATACATCTGGCAAGTATAATAAGAAATGATTTGATTGATATGTGGGGTTTAACGTCTCTAAACTACCATATGATTATGAGAGACACCGTAGTGGAGGGCTCCAGAAATTTCGACCACCCGGGGTTCTTTAACGTGCACCCAAATCTGAGCACACGGGCCTACAACATTTCCGCCTCCATCGGAAATGCAGCCGCCGCAGCCGGGATTCGATCCCGCGACCTGCGTGTCAGCAGCCAAGTGCCACTAGACCACTGTGGCGGGGCAGTGTAATATGAAAGCACGCGCCATATGTGACCACTTAATTTCCATCCTGCTGCTTGTAACCCAAATACAAGTTTTCTTTGTTTGACGTTCGTATCTCGTCATTACATTCTTCGTTTCATTAACTTAATACGTACTTTTATTTTTTAGTTGAGAGGTATAGCGCTTGCTCTTTAGCGTATTCAGATAGCTTCATTCTTTCCAAATGCGAGCTAACAATTAGCGCCAATTTACTCAATTAAGTTTGGGGTGAGGCAGCAAGTGTGTTAATATTCAAATAAAAGTTATATGTTGGATAGACTGACGCGTTAGTGGGTAGTGCATAATTCAGACATTAGCACGAAGACATTACATGGATGGCGACATATCAGAACAGAACACAGCGCCGTGTCCCGTCCTGATCTGTCACCGCATGTGCGATTCTTTGATTTACTGTCTGAGTTATACATTGAGTTGAATTCTACATTAGTATGGTTTATAATGTTGTTTAATTACTAGGGATAGTTAACGGGCAGATATCGCATGCATGAATTAAACGCCATGCAAAGAAGAATCTATTTTCCACGCAGCTTTCATTAAAAGGCACCATGGAAGTCTCAAAACTGATATCGCCTCGACGAGGCATGTATACGCGCGCGCTTTCAGCCCCATTGTCGCGAGCACTGCACCATTGAAGCAACACACAGAACTTCTCTCGACACCGATAACCTACTCGAGTGGAACTGATATCTTCGGCTTCGTCAGGGTATGCATAGTTTTTCGCCAGTGGGCGGCCGCTACGTGTGTGTATACGCACGTGTTGCAGGCTCCATCGCTCCTCGTTGGGTCCGTAAACGGAGCCACGCAGGCCGATCTGCACGACGCGGCGTGTGTCCAGGAGGCCCTCCTGAACGGCTCGGTAAAAGGGAGTGCCGTGTGCCACCTCACAGTGCATCATGGTCGGGTTCACGTCGGCATGCGCGTCCAGATGCAGCAGCCCCACGGGACCATGCTTTTCCTGCGACGACCAATAAAGAAGGGCGCAATGTGGCTGGCTTCTTGAGCATTTTTAATTTTTTTTCTTTTTTGCAGTGGATAACTTAAGGCCGATTTTCTACCCACTTGTCTGCGGAAATTCCGTTGTTTAGATTTATGTGGAGAACAGGAGATGTGTTGCTATGCTGTTTATGCCTTTCTCAAGAATATGATGTTTTATAGAGAACAGCACGATATGTAGAAGTCTACTAACAAACTATGGCAACCTTACTATACTTATCCACCACGAGCCAGTGATTCTCACAAGGAACATAAATGATATAACGTGGAAACTCTGATTATAGCATTTGGTCACCTAACGAACATGACTCAAAGCTTTTGCGGCTTCAGCCCCACACAAGTGGACAAATATTCTATCTTACGGTAACAGCGCGAAAGACGAGGGCAACAGAGGACGAGGACAACAGTGTGTGTGTGTGTGCATGCGTGTGTGTGTGTGTGTGTGTGTGTGTGTGTGTGTGTGTGTGCGTGTGTGTGTGTGTGTGTGTGTGTGTGTGTGTGTGTGTGTGTGTGGTGTGTGTGTGTGTGTGTGTGTGTGTGTGTGTGTGTACCTCTGTTGCTCACGTCTTCCGTACTGTTACCGTAAGACATGTTATACAAACTAGGCGACAAGTTGACCCTTCAAGATATTCTACTATGATAGACAAGAAAGCACTGCGACCAGCAAGCATCGTCGCCTACCCATAGTTCACACTTTCGTCTGCGTAGCGCTTAAGACTGTCAGCTTTTACAACATTGCAGTTCTAGGATATATTAGTTTGGCGGCAAACAAAGTCAAGGCCCGACCTTGATCGCCCTCAGCACGGGATATGTGGTAGTGTGGTCACCCCCGATGCCCACGGGCACGCAGCCATGGCTCAGTAGACCTTTCACGAAGCGCTCGATGTCGCCTATAGCACGTTTCGTGTCGTACATAGTAACCGGTACGTCACCAACATCGGCCACCTGGAGGGAGTCGTAGGGCGCAGCTCCTGCAAGGAAAGACACCACCTCGCCATGTTCTTCGTTCGACCACGCTCAGGTGTGGACCGAACGACGCGGAAGTTTCACTGACAATTCGCACCACAAGTAACGGGTACACAAAAGAAGACACGAGGTGGCGATAACAGGCCAACAAACGTTTACCTCTCGATACGCGTTTGTACAGCTGTTCATCGCTTATTAACCCTTAATCAAACGGGATGAAGCAGGGACAACAGTTTGCGATGGCTAGATTGCATTCCACTGCAGGTGAAGCCCTTTTTGACCAGTGTAAACTGTTGCCAGCAGAAGTGCGACGAGCTATACCGGCGAAATAATGGAGACGGATAAGGTTTCCCTGCTATAGGTTATGGGTGTGTCAGAACTCCTTCTGCACGCTTATAGCTCAGAGTTATTCTTTCTGAGAAAGTGATGCGCGCATATGTAATGGTAATGAACAGCAGTATAAAAATGTGTGTTGGATATGTAGAGCTTTTTGTGGTAGTTAGCGCTCGCATGTCGTCACGTGCTTTCTTTGGAATCGGTGTTATCCACAATATACAAATTCTCAATGATCCAGAACTAATAGTCAAAGATAGCCACGACTCTGAAATGTGGAAAGTTCTTTCGGCTGCGTTCGCAACACGTGCATAAGAATGTTTTGAATCCACGTATGTTTCGAGTCATGATGAGCAAGCACAAGGGGGCGTCATCCGACGCGGCATGTACTGCACCCTTCACGATTGCTACCTGATTTTCCAAAATAGCTCCCCATCCCGCCGTATGGGAGCGTTGGTGTGTCCACAGTATGCTTGGTAACGCCGTGTTTACCATATGGTGGGATATGAATGGACATCGAATTTTTGGATAGACATGTAGAAAATACGATCTGCATGTATATATAGTTGCGATTTCAGTATTCGAACCTACATACATAGGTGCGCATTGCGTAACGATGCAATGCATGCATTTTCTCGTTTAAAGACTGAAAATGACAAGGGCTAAATTAGGGCAGATTTTTTGGGCTTGTTATTGTATGTATCCCATTCTAGCGTAACATTCCTTCTTCATAGAGTCTGTCTCTTTGCGCAAACATGCATCCCTTACTTCGTATACAAGAACGTGGAAGGGAGAAACAAACACACACAGATCGCTTTATGCGAGCCGTTTTTTTTTCTTTCGTGTTCTTGTACTCAGTGGCCACATACCGAGAAAAATAACCAGAAAGAAAGAAACAAATGGCCGGAGACAGATTGGTCGAGGGACGTTATTCGCCGCACAATGTTACAAGGCTCGAGACAGCATTTGACAATTTGGCTGATAATTCTCCTCAGTGACCCTAAAACGGCCTCAGAGAATTTGCGATTAACAAAGTTAGCATGGTGCGATTTTATGCCAGTGGCCTGTATTTTTTTGTCATTATTTTTTGCGGATTTCATTGTAAGTGGGTCAATTGGCTACCCCGTGTTTGACAGCAAACTTCTCAATAGCTGAAATGTTTCACTTCAACCTTTATTCATTCAACTTTTTTTCAGCAGCGGAGAAATTAGCGACATAGTCTGCTTCTTGTCACCGTTTCCAGTTGATGCTAAATAAATCACTCTAGCCAGACAGGCAGACGCCTTGGTCTTTGCCTACATCGAATTCCGTCCACCCGCTTTCCCTGCGTTGCGCAACTGAAGGCTCGAGAAAATTGTGTAAGCGTTAACTCGCCAAGCGGCGGTCTGGAGATATCATTTACATACTCCAACTATTCTGCTTGAATGCGGCCGAGACGCGGAAGTAACGCGTTGTGCACGGAAGACCTCTGCGAAGTCGGATGCATAAGCGGACGCCGTATAAAGACGACACAACCAGGACTGCGACTGAAAAAAGTGTACCCACGGGTGGCCATGTTGTGCGGCCTGATCAGCGACGACTCGCAACGCACTTGGCGGGGACCGAACCGGGCCCCACTGCGGTTCGATGTGCCGCAGTCGAAGGGGACTCCGTAGACAGCCACGTCCAGACCTGCAGCATACGCACAATTACAGGCTTGCAAAAGAATAGAAGAAAACTATACTTCTCCGCCGCATATTATTTTGTCAGGCTTAGATGTCATGCAAGCAGGCGCGTAGCCAGAAACGTTTTTCCCGAGAGGGGGGGGGGGACCTTCTTGATTTCGGGGAGGGAATCCCCTTGAAATTGTCATTTTTCGCTCTCGACGCCATGCCGAAAAATCAGAGGGGGGGGGGGGGAGGGAGGGCACGAGCCTGGTGTGCCAACGTTTATATAACATGTTCTATAAATGTTGAAATCTGTTCTATAAATGTTATAGAACCTATTCAATAAACCTGTCCTATAGAACAGGTTCTATAAACGTTGCAGTGTGCCACCCCCTGGCTACGCCCCTACATGCAAGTGAACTCAGTTATTCAGAAATCAGTTCACAATGAAAGCAAGTGTATACGCGAGTCGCAGCTGACAGCTTGCACTCTATGAGAGCGGGTCTGGTAAACCGAGTGTGGTAAACTGTCACCGCCTACGGACCTGCTCTACAAGGAAGTAAATAAACGGCTATCATTGCAATCACTGATCATGCGAGTGCGCGCTTATATGAGCTATAATCACAGGCTGACGTATACGAACTGTTTGCATTAAATGTAACATCACCTAACACTTCTGTTATATTTATTCGCTCTAATCAATAGGATGGCGGGGTTGAGTCGTCAGTTCAGGTATCATCGGTAGCCGTAGTTCCAGAATGTCTCCTTGAACTTCGGCTGCAATGAGACGTTGGTGCAATACAAGGAGTTAATAATGACGCCTAAAGTAATGTTTTTTTATGTTAATGATATAGCTGCAAGTTTCAAAAGTGGGAGTGGATTAATTATAAATACTGGAAGGGCAAACTAATTAAGACACCAACCAATAAGGCCATAGGCGTTGTACAATAAACGTCGTTTTCTAATGGGTGCACATCATAATTTTTCAAATAGCATATAAAAGACTTGGCTTATAAAGCTATGTGAGTTAGCAGTATCTGCCTACATGAAAGGGTTTGCTTGTAAGTCCCTCAAGTATATGTAGCTTTCTTCAGCAGTCAGATGCCTCTAACGACCATTGTCAGGGCATTGCTCAGGGAATATTTTCGTTGCGAGAAACGAACGTGTTGTCTCTTCGTTATCTTGACAGACAGCTTCGTAAAAGTTGTTTCACTTGACGGCCCGGGCACTCTCTCTCTCTCTCTCTCTCTCTCTCTCTCTCTCTCTCTCTCTCTCTCTTTTTGAGCTCGCGTTCAAGTGGGTAAAGGGCGCTTGCTCACGCAAACAAGAGCTAAATGGCACACAGCACATTAAACTCAGACACACGTTTGCAAACGATTCATTTGAGAAGGCTATTATAAGGCTGAAAAATACTTGCACGACACATTGACTATTGCATAACAAGCATGCATATTAGATTGCTCACCAGGCTAATATTCTCGCTGAACTTTCAGTATTTATCCTAGTGTTTATAACATGACTGCTCCATCGGAACCGCAAGGAAGCCGCGGTGTACTTATGCTGACTACGTTTCGCCTTTGCGCTGCAGAAAAGTGTGTCTGTATGTTGCACACACACACTGTGTGTGTGTGTGTGTACGTGTGTGTGTGTGTGTGTGTGTGTGTGTGTGTGTGTGTGTGCAACATACAGACACACTTTTCAGCATGTGTGTGTCAGTAAACATTAGTCTAAGGTTTGTTGTATCCGCACCAACTCACCGAAATATTTCTGCTTTCATGTACTCCGCACTTGACCTGATATAACCACGTATACTTTCGTACTTTTTCTCTCTTTTAAAGTGCGGGGCACTTCATGAAGGCCAGGCTGTCGTATGTTGTCGACGTCGCTTGGCATAACGCAGGCAGAACCACATTGTGTGCAGCAGAGCCATCTGAGCAGCTCGCGCCAATAAAAAGTCTTCTTTCCTCTTGTTCTTCGAGGGCCTTGATGATGATATTAAGTGAAGAGCACTTTAGGGTCGAAACCATTATTAAATATTGAAAAAGAGGAAACAAGCGAGAAATAGAAAGAGAGAGAGAGAACCAACTGAGAAAAGGGATTAGCTGAAGTAATCGTACACCGTTGCGGCTGTAGAAACCTGTGTAACTTGAAATCAATGTTCCACTGGAATGAAACATGCCAGCTTAAGCAAGTGATATTTCTTTTTTCTAGCTTTTCTAGGGCGCTGAAAACGTCCTTGGTGGTATAGGGATGGGGTGTGATGAGGGATCTTGCACCCTTTCGACATCCCGCACTTTTTCCCAAATGAAAGTTAATATGCACTAACCTGAAAACTACAAAGCTTTAACTCTTGTTCCCGTGCCACTGCGGTGTTTACAGCTTACCATCCCTTGCTGACAGTATCGAAATAACCGAGCATGAAAAGTACATACATACATACATACATACATACATACATACATACATACATACATACATACATACATACATACATACATACATACATACATACATACATACATACATACATACATACATACATACATACATACATACATACATACATACATACATACATACACATAGGCTATGTATGCGTCTGAATAATGAAAAACAAGCGAAAAAAAGCTTATTATTGTATGCAATAACCCATTTTCTTGTTGCAGTCTTGGGCTTTCAAGCACTTAGGAACTTTCCCACTTTTTTCATAACATATTGCTATTTGTCCATGGCTTCCGCCACTTGTGACTTGTACTGCATGGAATGTGGTAAGACTTGTGCGCTACTTGTGGTGGGTGTTGCAAGTGCATGACAACCCACTGTGTGCCCTCCCATGTATGTATGTATGTATGTATGTATGTATGTATGTATGTATGTATGTATGTATGTATGTATTGTATGTATGTATGTATGTATGTTATGTATGTATGTATGTATGTATGTATGTATGTATGTATGTATGTATGTATGTATGTATGTATGTATGTATGTATGTATGTATGTATGTATGTATGTATGTAGTATGTATGTATGTATGTATGTATGTATGTATGTATTGCGCAGGTTACTTAGGTACTGTCGGCAAACGAAGGCAAGCGGTAAAGAACACCGCAGGAGCACTGGAACAAAAGCTAACGTTTTGTACACTCGGCGACAACCTTTCTTGGCACTGAAGGGAAAGCTACGGAGCCAAATCGCGTGCATCCTACCACCAGTGAAGGTAGTGCCAAAGTAGCGCCCGTATTTTCAACGTGAAATGCAAATGTTCCTCCTTTATTTTCTACGTGGAGCTACTAGAGATAGGACGCAGCTCGCACCAGTAAGATATTCGTTATTCCTGAACCCGTGAGAAAGTCCAGCCTTTTTTACGTGCCTCCAAACGCTAAGCGGCGTCTGCGTCTACATGAAACGCTGAAGGTGCGCCCCCGTCACTTTCCATGGCGTTACGAGACGCGCGCCAAAACGGACTGCTTCGCGTAGTGCTACATACGTGCAGAAGCTCCACCTCCGTAGCTTTCCCTTCAGTGCCAAAAAAAGTTGTCGCCGAGTGTCGTTTTCAAGTTAGTGTATATTGACATTTTTCATTGAATCTCTGATGTAGGCAACGGGGTTCGCGCAAACAAACGAGTCATGAAGGGGCGGATAAGAAAAGCGCGCGCAAAGCGTGGCGTCTGCGGAATCCGGTGAACACCGTGAGCGCCGTCGGCTAGCCGGAAAAAAAAGGAGCCGCGTTCAACACTCACCGTGCGCGGAGGCAGCGTACGGAAGGCGCATGAATGTGGCTATGCCGCCCGGTCGCGGGCAGTCGTTTCCCGACAGCGGCTGGTTAAGGTTGGACGCGTGCCGCGCCGCATCTCGCCCGTGTCCGGCCAGCCGCCGTACGAGCAGGAGGGCCCGCAGTGTGCATCTCGCCGGCTGCTGCATCGCGCCAACCATTTGCTAGAACGACGCTCGCCTACCTGCTGCGCGAACGGCCACACAAACAGCTTCTGCAGCGTCTGTGTCGCTGCTCGCCTTCGTTGAGTCGCACGCCGCCAAGCGACGGCGCCCAATCCACAGCTGGACGGATGCCCGCTTTTTGCGGCAAGGAGAAATGTGCGACGAGGTCATTTGCGCGGTGCTGCGTAGTCGAGACCACGGAGGCTACGCTGGTCCGATAACGGGAGCCGATAAGCTAAGTCTATTTAGGCGGCTTAGACGAGAAGCACAGGACGCGAGCCCCTGCTCGTGGGCGGTACTGACTGAGTTATCGCGCTGGCACCCCTTAGCCAATCGCCTGATGGTCCGCACAAAAATATAAAAAAGGCAGATCCCACGTACAATGGGAATCGATGATATGCGAAGCACTAATGAGGAAGGTTGTTATGCCACTTTGAAATCAGCACAACGTTACGAGGTGGACGTAAATCATGCCGTACACGACTTCCATGTCATGATTATCATATTTGCACGTGCCATTTACCTTCGTTGTCTACGGATGGCACGTGATACCTAATTTGGTATATATGCAGCTAGCGAAAGGGCCGTGAGCACGCTATAAGCGTAGCATGTAGTCATGTTTTACATGACCCGCATATCATGTTATCATGTGTGGCCATGTCATTTACCTTCGTCGCCTATTCACGTCACCTGATACCCAGTTTGGTATATGTGAAGCTGGCAATACGACCGCGAGCGTACTATGAGCGTAGCATGTAGTCATGTTTTACAAGGCACGCATGTGATGATTATTAGGTCTGAACGTGTCATTTACCTTCGTCGTCCATTCGCGTCACGTAACACCAAAAATTATATCTGAGGCTAGCGAAACGCCAGCAAGCGCATCATGCGCGTGGCATGTAGTCATGACTTACATGACATGGATGTCATGATTTCCACGTTAGAGTCTGTCACTTATGTTCGCTTTGCAGTCATGTCATACCGTACCAGTTTTGCAATGTATGTCATGCGAACGAAATCACCGCAAGAGCAGCAAGACCATGAAATGTAAATCATGACATTCATGAGTCATGACATACATGTCATGATTTTCATGTTATGACTAGTCAGTTAGGCTCGTCATACAGTTACGTTATGTCATACCAATTTTGATGTCGATACCATTATCGCAACAGCCAGAAGAGCTAAATGTCGTAGATAGATAGATAGATAGATAGATAGATAGATAGATAGATAGATAGATAGATAGATAGATAGATAGATAGATAGATAGATAGATAGATAGATAGATAGATAGACTCAAATTCGCCGAAGTAGGCTTCGCATTTAATAATTAAATGCTACAGTATGAACTGGAGTGGCATTATGTCTTCCACTTTTCAAGTAGTTCGTACGTTTTATGGATGTTAAAGCCAGGTGAAAGAAATGCGAGAAAAAAATTCACTCAATGATGGGAAGGCGCCCAATGCGTTCAATTGAATGTTACTTGCACGGCTGCAATATGACAATGTAGCACGCCATTGTGGGAGACTCCGGATCAATTTCAATCACCTGGTCCTGAATCTACATGTACACTGGTGTTCTCAACATTTATTTATCATCGAATGAAGCCGCCATGGCAGGGAATCGAACCCACGCCCTCGAGCTTGGTAGTGCTTTAGCTGAATGCTAAATGCCAAGACTGCAGAAGCTTTACGAAGGAAGAAAAAGAAGTAGGCTACACCAACCAAATAATATGTTTGGGAGAAAACGACGGTTCTTCTCTCATGCGGAAGCTTTGTTCATAATTGTGGACAAGGCTTGCAAGCCGTAACGCCGTTTTCTATCGTCGTGTGTTAATTATCCCGACCAGCCGGATTTCCATCAAACTCTTGATTTCATAAGAAGTTTCAGCTGCTTCAGCGGCGTCGAAAGTGTTTAGACCATCACGAAAGCATGTGCAGACAAGCAGCGTGCTAACTACCAACTCATATGGGACATTCAAGAAATAATAATAATAATAATAATAATAATAATAATAATAATAATAATAATAATAATAATAATAATAATAATAATAATAATAATAATAATAATAATAATAATATCTCGCTTCTTACGTCAATACCACACTATGATTATGAAGAACACCGTATACAGTGGAGATCTTCGGAAATGTCGACCATCTGGTGTTTTGAACGAGCACTGCATCTAGCATTTCACGTCCATTGAAATGCGGCCGGGATGGATCCCCGGACTTTCGGGTTAGCAGCCTAGCACCGTATGACGACATTCAAGGCAGTAATGTGTTAGTCAAAGGAGACCTTTGGTACAAAGTCGTTAAATGGATACCCGCTATCTCTTCCTACCCAGGAGGCAAAAGGTCACCCATGCAGGCGTAAAAATGCTTTTTCTCTAAAGTATGTGGCCAGCGATAAACACACCTGGCAGTCTCAGCGTTATCCTAGAGGAAACGACCCAGCGTGTCGAGGGAACATCGCGGCTTATGGGGTTCGCAACTCACACAGATATGTGTTATGAGACATACCCCGCAATATATAACGTTTTAGCTAGAGGTATATGCAGGGGTTGAACGGGGTCCACAGGAGAGATTGCAAACAGTACTACTCCATGCAGCGCAACTTGGCTATCTCATACGGAAATAAGTGCCTTAATATAAATAATTTAAACAAACGTAATAGCGCACGTGCATATAAACCGACGCAGCTGGTGGAGACAAAAAAAAAAAAAAACGAATCGCGAGTCACTGTGCATAACATCCTAATATCCTGTGCACGCGTTGGAAGTAATACAGTTCTTCACTGCTATGAAAGGTGTAATACTGAGGCCAACTACTGACCGTTGTATTGTGATCGTGTATGACGGTGGGTAGTGGCTCAGAGGCCTACGTTTATGTCGCTCTTGTTGCATTTACTGTACATGCAAAGCAAGACGATAACCGTGCCCTCATCGCTACTCACCTGACGAGAAGCTTGCACGATGAGCTAGTGCGAATATCATGAGAGCAGTTTTGTCGCTCCATTAAATCTGCTATCTTTGACGCTCGTACAATATATGAATGCACTATTTGTCCATTGCTAGTTAAGAAAGCCATTCCTTTTTAGCTTTTTTTGTTTTTGTTAGGCATTTTATATAATAAATCCGCCCATATGACTGCCCAGTCAGTAATCGAGAAGCAACACAGCGTATCAGTGGATACCCAGTCATTGTGCCTGTGGTATGTATATGGTAACAACCTCACAGATGAGGACGCCCAATCTGCACATGAAGGTACCAAATCAATAGCCATACTATTTTCATCAACCGACGCAGCCTCAGGGCTTCATTCGCTGCAAGTGACCCCACACTTGCCCAGTGGCACTCGATAGAATAGACATTTTTCAAGCAATCTCACAACGCGCCATGGGTGCGTGGAGCACTATGGGAAAAGTTGGTACGTCGAGAGAACCGTCTTTTGCCCCGCCCGCTGCTCATTGGCGCCGTGCGAGCGCAAAACAAAAAGAACATGCCGCCGCTTGTTGAATAGGGTCCGAACACATCTGCATTTATATCAACGCATGAAATGTAAAATGAATAATGCAGCCAGTGTAGGGTGTGCATCGAAGGTAGAAGATGAGCAGCATGCGAGTTGTTCGTACCAATGCGTGTGATCAAAATATGCTATAGTGAGAAATTTCTATGGCTTTCAATACCATCGCGGTTCGATTGTGCCATTAACACAAGACTGCATAGAAGTGTTACAGCATTATAATTAAAAAAAATGTATGGACAAGTCACGCACTGAAAAAAGGAAACACATTCTAAATGTGCTCAAAGACGAAGGGATGGAACTAGAATTCACGTGCAAGATACCTTGCTCTGATAATTTGCGGTTTCTGATCAAATGCTTTAGTGTCTCTGCGAAACATGTTTGCTGGCAGTATATTCCGCATTGAGTGAGACCACTATTGAATTTCGCGCGCGCGCTTTCAAATATTTCATAAAGAGGAATATTGATGTCGTATACTTATACGCCCAGCGAAGAAAAAAACACAAAAAAAACTTGGGCACATTACATGACCAATAGTTTCCAGCTGAAAGAAGGCGCGGTGTCCTGTCTATATCGTATATTGCATCGGTTTCGGAACAGCTCATTCGCACTGCAAACAAAGATTAATTCGGGCGACCTTCCTCCGCGAAGAAACTAGTACTATTGCAGTTATTCTATGCATATTACGTTCTGCACAGTCTGAAAGGAAGTTGGCCCCGCCGTGGTGGTCTAGTCGCTAAGGTACTCGGCTGCTCACCCGCAGGTCGCGGGATCGAATCCCGGCTGCGGCGGCTGCATCGCCGATGGAGGCGGAAGTGTTGCAGGCCCGTGTGCTCAGATTTGGGTGCACGATAAAGAGCCCCAGCTGGTCCAAATTTCCGAAGCCCTCCACTATGGCACCTCTCATAATCCTATAGTGGTTTTGGGACGTTAAACCCCACATATAAATCAATGAAAAGAAGTTGGAGAGGGATACTAGGTGAGGGTTACGTTTTCCGCACTATCAGCCTAATAGTATTTTTTCCGTAGCGCGCAAAAGGTTGCAGGGGTCTATAGTAGGCAGATAAAGGTGCTATGAGAGGCATGTCGATTTGTTCTTTCAATTGTTATGCAAGAGTTGCTCACCAAATCACTCTTCTGTTCCCATATATACATTGGTCATATGGGTTGATGTATCAACACGCGCCTCAGAAAGCATCAAAATTCATTGAGGGAAGCCATCTCATCGCACCTCGTATTTTCATAAACGCAAATGCAATATCGTTTTTGAAGGCCGGGTAGTCTGCACAGTCACCCTAACCAGACGACGCTGGAAATAATGGAAACATATCGTAAAGAACACCACACCTTGTTGGATAGTCAGTTAACCTTCGCTATCGTTACAACACAAGAAATTTAACTTTGTTAATCATACAGACGCGTCTTGGTTGTTTGCCTTTTTGTGCCTCTTTGTGACATGCGCGATGCACCACATTTTCTTGCGTATATTTTTTTAACACGTGCGATACACTTTCAGTGGTGAGTGAGCGTTTCCGGTGTGCATATTTCTTTCCTGGTCCTACTTTCTTTTCACCTTCTCAGTTTTGTTTCAATCTGTAG